GTAGACTGGAAAAAAAGTGTTGTTAAAATAAGTCTATATAAAAGAGGCTTTATTTTGTCCTTGTGTGTTTGGGAACAACACCAGCCGTCTTATTCTATTCTTATACTGAGACCTGGTTGCTTCCACTTGACAAACCGGATACAAGATTAACATTATGAACTGAAAAGCTGATAAACAGTAAACCAGCCATGTGGTGCTAAACAACACAACTTACAGTACAGCTACTGTAACTCCGAGTGACACTAAGCTACAAGTGTCATGGCAGGGCAACACATTTAGATTCTCTGGATAAATATAACCAGACAGTGTGGAGTCAACAGTTGGACGGAGAACTTTAGCGTCTGAACGTTTTCACTCCCTGGCTGCTCGGTCCCGGAGCTGTCAAACTAGCTTGGCTGGCTAGCCTGGTCGGCTAAAGCTATGTAGCCAGCGGGCTAAGTAATTAGCTTGTTAGCTAAGTGAGTTAGCTTGCACTGTCGGAGAAAACGCACAAACAACGCGCTCGGTGATCGAACAACATTGCAAATGATATCTTACACCAGCCAAACGACCGAGTAAAGTAAGCGGGGCAAGTAAACCGGTACTTATGGCTGAAATAATCAGTATTTGTCAAAGTCCGCTTAGTAGCATTCGGGCTAGCTAACTTGTTGGAGTGACGTGACGTCAAAGTTTTGGGTACGTGTCTCTTTCAAACAGGTAAACTAGTCACACAGACGACACGGGCGGAAATCAACTTCGCTGGGGGATACTCACGCTTTGTCAACCATCTCCCTGACCTTCCACATGTTCAGCATCTTGGCTCCGTGTACAGGGGCTTCGTGCCTGGCCACAAACAACCGTGTTACTCCAGGCGGACCGACACCAGACCTTAAACTCCAGTAAAGTGAACTCTTCGCCACCTCTCGCTCTCTCCAGGCAGGAGGCGCGCACGCACCAGCGGACAAACCGGAAAGGTTACTACTGGAAATGTGCGTCATCACACCTGCGCCGGGCAGCGCTGGAGTTGTGGTTTCGTCGTAGGAAATAAAATAACTACTTTTAATATTTGAGCATTTTAAACAAAAGTTCACTTTGTACGACGAATTATGTGGAACAACAAGGGAGAAAACTATTCGCCAGGAGAATAATGATATTAAAAATCTTGTTTTCTCCAGCAGTGGTAATGGGGTTGGACTGAATTGACAAATTTACATTTATGTAATAAAAAGTTAAATATCACGAGATTCGATTGAATACAAATTGCTAGAAATGTTTAAAAAAAAAGTCCAGTGTGTAAGAATTTGGTGAAAGGGAACTATTGGCAGATATTTAATGTAGAATAATCTTCATGATGCTTTCACTGGTTCATTTCATCTAAATTGTATGAATTGTAGTTTTCTTTACCCCAGTAAAGGCCCTTTATATTTAAATACTTTATATTTACATCGAGGGGACCCTCTCTATGGAGGCTGCCATGTTTTTTACATTAGTCCAGTCTTGACAAACTAAACACCCTTTGAGTTTTTATGACAATTAAAGGCTTCAACAGCTTATTTTTCATGTTTGGAAGGAGAGGGTGAGGTGAGGGGTGTTCAGCTGCAACATTTCAACACTAGATATCACAAAATTCTACACACTCATGCTCTTGACCAGTTGAAAACGTAGTTCGTGAGCAAAGTGATCAAAGTACTTTACATAGTGAAGACTATACCTTACAAACTTGTAGAGAAACAGTTCCTACAACAAGTAAGCATCGGTGACTGTGGAGAGAAAAAACTCGTTTGACGACGCATGACGAAACAATCAACCCAGTATGACAGATATATTGGTTGGGCCTATTTTGGCTTATTTTAGGTATATTGTTATTGGTTTAAATGTTAGCCAATAAGTTAAAAACTGTATAGAACTGGAAAAACATAACTTAGAGCAGGGGCGCATCCAGATTGTTTTTAAGTGCAGGGCACATGGGGGAACCACAGTTAAATTTGGTGGGAAGGGGGCTGCATGCAGTGAAGACATTTTCCTGAAATTAAACGGAGGGGCTGTATATGGGAATCAGTTGCTGTGGAATTTTTGTGCCAACCCCCAAGTCGAATGTCAGGAGACTTTCAGAGTGAGCCCATGTGAGAATCCACAATTCACAGCGAGTGAGTGTGCTAGTTTATGACTTTTCTAACATGCATCGAAGACGAGCCATGCAGACGATGCCGGAGAAAATGTCATCTCTGGAAGACAACGTGATTGCAGAGCTTTTGGTGATAAGAGCTGAGCTGGTGTCAATGTGCTGGAAAGAAAAACATGTGATTTCCACAGTGGAATTTATACACCAAGTATATCTGTTCAGGCGCCACCTCTCATCTGAATGTCTTGAACATTTTCCTGTTGTTGTTAACACATGATCTGGACAATCTCCTGCTGCGTTCTTCATATGTGAAAGGCAAACTCTAGAAAATGTCTGGACCCAATTATTTCTGAAGTTCATGTCCAAAAAAACTGCTTTAGACTACAAATTACTGTACAATTACAGAGTGTATGTGTACTTATTGCACATGTCTGTACTGCTGGAACACAAGAATTTCCCCTCGGGGATGAATAAAGTATGTCTATCTATCTATCTATCTATATCTATGTCTTTTTTAACTTAGATCACTGACAAGATTATGGGTTAAAGAGTCCCACAAAAAAAAAACTAAATAAAATAATAAATGAATAACAGATAAATAATGAATATATAAAGAAAATATGTGCTTTATGTTCATATAAAAATCTGTTTTTCTTCTCAGATGTTTTCAACTGTGAGATATCCATCAGTTGGGCCATGTTCTTCAGCACAGCCATTTCCCCAACAGAGCGGCCTACACCATAGTCAGCAGGTCACCACCCCATGTGTTTTCCATCCCTCCTCATCTGGCATTCAGGCATGCTACAATGACCCAGTGATGCTGTGTGACAGGCCAGGCAGGGCACTGGCTGTTTGTGTCAATCCAGATCAATCACTCCCTCTTCTGGACAGACAACGTCATCAACGTGCACAAAGGTCACAGGGTGTACTCAAGCCAGGCCTGATGTGTTGAGCAGGGAGGTCAGTGTATAGCAAGCGGAACACCCTTGACTGACTGAGCCTTATCTTAAATATATACACTGTCGTCTTAGGAATAAGATGAACTGGTTGATTTTAAAAAGAGAAGAGTTAAATGACAAGTCACAAGCAATTTTGTCTGCCTTGAAATATGCTTTGGACTCTCCTGTGACTGGGCGTAGATAAAAAAGTATTAAGACACTTTGTCGTATTGATTGATATTCCAGTGGGCAAGATGAGCCCTCGGATGCCCTACATCTGACAGGCTTCTCTATTCTCTAATGATACGTGTAAATATGGCCCACTGCTTACACTCCTATAGGAGAGCCGGAGGAAACAACACAATAGCCAAAATACAACCCATTTGAGAAAAAAACAACAAGAAACAGCACTTAACAGCCCAGAATGCACTGCACCCGAGGGAGCAACCTCAATTACTGTTACACGTCCAAAGAGGAGAACTCTTGGAGAAGTGATTGCTGAGATGGAAATGGCTGTGTATGTGTTTGTGTGTGTGTGTGTGTGTGAGAGAGAGAGAAAGAGTGTGTGGGTCGGAAGAGGATGGATAGAAAAGCACTCAGTAAAAAGATCTTTCAGAAACACTTTACCTCGGTGACGTTGACGCGAGCTGTTGATTGACGGGCACTTCTCGACAGAAACCAGAGCTATCAACCTATCTGCCACGCATTAAGAATGGCACGGTCCTCAGGGAGGGGCCTAAGTGGTAAATGATGTTGCTCAAGACACTCTCTGTCAACAATGTGTGCGTGTATTTTGTGACTGTGTGATTGCTGAGGATGGCAAAGTATTCAATCAAAGCTTTGATTGAAAACCATGGTGTCCTTAAAGATCAGAAGTCTGTATGCTGATGAATAATACTCATGTGTGTGTGCAGGAGTGAGCTTGTGTGTGTGTGTGTTTTAAATATGGTGAGGAAAAATCTGGGCTGGAAGAAATATATATCTCAAACAATATTTATTCAGTTTAATTGTGCTGTCAACGTGGTCTTTGAAATGTTTTAGAGGCAAAAACATTCTCTTTCAGAAATCATGTAGACCCACATTCTCTTGTTGGATTCAGAGGGAAATGTCAGCCTCTGCTTGATATTTCATATTTTATAACCATGTTCCATTCATCATCATGTTCGTCGGTTGATCATCAATTTGGTCTACCGAGACCAAGTTGTCACTAACAACTTTTGAGTTGCAGGAGATGAAAAAACTAAGCCGGATAAACATGATGAAACTGTAACCCAAGCATCACTAGGGGGCACTCTGACTGTTCTGGTGCTGGAGAGGCTGCTGATTATTTTACACACAGTGAGTGTGTTCACGACTGTGCACATGTGTGTGTGTGTGTCAGCCAGTGCGACCACTGGGGGTCGAGGCTGTGTTTACATGGCTGAAGTTCCCATGACAAATGTGGTCAGAACATCATCTCGATTTGGGAATGTGCACAAAGAAGATGCCGTTTCTACAACTGGGCTATTATTCTCTCTTGCACTCCAAACATGTGCTTCCAATCTCTCCAAAAAACACACAGTTCCCTTTTTTTTCTCCTTTTACAATGTCATTAGAAAACAATGTTCTTTGTTTTGCACATTAGCTATGAATTAAATATCCGCCCATCTTTGTGCCCGCAGAAGAGGTTCTGATCTGTGGAGTTGTTCGCTGGGGCCCAGCTTCCCTCCTGTCACTGTGAGGGTTCTCTGGCTGCTGTTATATTTCAGGCTGTTATTGTTGGCCCTCTTGCAGCCCCGGTAAGATCTTTAGTCCTTTTCCCAAGCGATATAACCCCCACACACATCACACAGTATCTGACCCCTGTCTCCATGACACATGACAGGTCCACTACGGTGCGCGTGTGTGTGGGCATGTAGGCGAGGGCTGACGTGTTTGTGTGTGTCGGTTCGCTTTCATGTAAATGTGTTGTAAATATGTGTGCACTGCATAGAGATGTGTGTGTGTGTGTGTTTGCAACTGTACAGAGCGTATCTGGTACAGTGTGTACGTACTGAATATGCTAAAACAATGAGGCCACTTGTCACATGTTCAAAGACACTCAGACAACCCGCTGTGATCTCAAAACCACACACACAGATGTTCCTAATGGGACTAAAGTAGCATTCACATTCCTGTGGATAACCAGTCTGTTTATTTTTCTCTCTAAACTGGACTGCCACTTTCCCTGGTGAGAAAAAGGATGGAAGATGAAAAAAAAAAGAAAAATGTGTGGAGGCTGAGGAGAGAGGCTCCTACCACAAGTTTAAACCTCCAAAGCCAACTGTGAGTACAGCTAAACCAGCAAATCTCAGCGGTGCGGTGATTTAAAGGTGACAATAACTCTGAAGTGTGTAATGGAAGCTGATGCCGGTGTGCGATTCTATGCTAAGTTAAAACCTGCCATCGTCTCATTCACCTCACGCGAGGAAATGAGCTCGGTGTAATTGTGAAGGATTATGTTTATGAGTCAGGGTGTTACAGTAAATCCTGTTGCTTTGTACATGAGCTGTGCACATACACACGGAGGAACCCGCACAGGTATATACACTGAAGTCCTGAGAGCATCTGCTCCTTTACAACCAGATTGAATTAGCAATTACAGAGAGTAAAAAAACCAGAACAAAACATCTGGAGCTGTAAGCAGCTGAGGTTATAAATCTGAGAGGTGGATGGGAGGTAGGGAGGGAGGGTATGAAAATGAGCCAAAGTGAGATTCTCAAGGACAGTGTCTCTGATTGGCCCATTAACATTCCAGGGGTGTCAAAAAGGACCCGAGGCAATGGGAGAAATGGGACAGAGCAGAGGGCTTCAGAGGGCGTGTGGGAAACCAGTGAATGGAGAGGTATAGAGCTCACAGGGGTAAGGTGTTGTTAACTTCAGAAAGAGTAAAGATAATATGGCTGAAGAGATACATGGATGTTGTTTGTGT